CGTCCTTCTGCAGAGCAGCTGGTGGATTTGAACCTTGTGCCTTTGGGATGGCAGCTTCTTCCCATGAGGCCACTGTGCTTTTTGAGTAGCAGCTAAATTCTTGAATCTCTGTACCATCAGGGCTCCTACTACCGATAATTCAAAAAATCCTCAAACACGTTGCCCTCAAGTCAGAGCCAAGTCTTATCTTATCCTCTTGTGGGTTTCAAAACCAGAAATATAACAGGAGGAGATTACCCATCTTTCTCCCTCGAAGCAGCTGGTGCATTAGAACCTCCAGGGAGGAGTGGCTTTAGATTAACCACTCAACCCTCTATGGATGATTCCCTCAGAGTGCCAGAAGTTGAAGTCATGGATGACTAGAACCCTTAAGTTTTTACACAACTTCAAAGGCACACTTCCTTTATTTTTGACATAAACAAGACGGCTTTCAATCCTTCCTTTAAGCCCAATAAACAGACGAATTTATTGACATCAAGCACCATTTATTTATCTAGTCAAGGATACTGCGACAAAGCATTTGTGTAATAGCTATCACGCTGACTCTCAAAGAGCTGGAAGAATAGAACAATTTCTTGGTCTTTGTTAATAACTTGACTCTTTAGCAGTGTTGTTGAAACATCCTTTCAAAAGCCATTCTAGAATTCTGTCCAAGAAGCATACCAAGTTCTCTAATATTTCATTTTTGTTAAACATTTGCTTACATTTGTGATGTCTTGTCCAGATGTTGTTACATGCTGGCAAGTTGGAACTGACTGGTAGCTGACTCTCCAGTGGGTTTTGAGAGGCTGTAAATCACAGGGGAGAAGACTGTCCATCTTTCTCCCATGGAGCAGCTGGTGGAATTAAATTTGTGCCTTTAAATTGGCAGCACAGCTCCTTACCACAAAGCCACAGGAGCTCCCTCAGATTAACTAGAAGCAGGCAATTCTTCAGAACGTACAATAGAGCATCTTAAACAACAGAAACAGGAACCAAAAATATGCAACATCTGAATTATTTCATTACTATTTTACTGAATCACAATGTGAAATGCACATGTAAGAAAACAAAAGGCTGTCCTAGACTACAAGTCATCTTACAATTGCAGTAATTACCAACAATTATTTACCACATTAGAAAGAACCATATGAAGAAAAGCCAATGATAATGAAGGATGAAATTCAAGCTGTACTGAAGGCATTAGCAAAATAATAATAATAATACCCCAGGAATTGATAGACTATCAATTGACATGTTTAAATTAACAGCTGCAACCCAGGATGTGTTCACCAGTTTATGCCAGGAGACTTGGAGGACAGTTACCTGGCCAACTGACTGGAAGAGATCTATATTTGTCCCCATTCCCAAAAAAAGGTGATCTAACAGAATGCAGAAATTATCAAGCAATATCATTACTATCTAATGCAAACAAATACTGTTGAAGATCACTCAAAATCAATACATTAACAGAACTACCAGAGGTTCAGGCAAACTTTAGAAGAGGCTGCAGCACCAGAGACATCACTGCTGATGTCAGATGGATCCTGACTAAAAGCAAAGAACACCAGAAGAATGTCTATTTGTGTTTTATTGACTATCCAAAAGCATGTGACTGTGTGGATCATAAAAAATTATGGCTAACATTGAGAAGAATAGGACTTTCAGAACTCTTTTTTTAAAAAAAAATCCAGAACTCTTAAAGAAATGAAATCTATATCTAGACCAAGAAGCTATTGTCTGAAAAAACAAACAAACAAACAAACTTTAAAAAGAAAAGCTATTGTCTGAACCAAGCGAGGAAACACTGCATGTTTTAAATTCAGGAAGGCTGTTTCCTTTCTCCATGCCTATTCAGTCTGTGTGTTGAGCAAATAATTCGTGAAGCTGGACTCTGAAAATGTATGGGGCATCAGGATTGGAGGAAGACTCATGAACAACGTGCATTATGCAGATGGCACAACTTTGCTTGCCTTTGATATTTGCAGCCTTTGATACAGATTACATCTCAACATGAGGAAAGCAAAGGTCCTCACCCCAGAACCAACAGTCAGCATTAGGAAAGATGGGGAAAAGATTGAAGCTGTCCATCAATAATAAACACCCTTGGTATCAGCAGTCAGGAAATCAGGAGATGTATTGCATTGGGCAAGTCTGCTGTCATTGACCTCTCCAAAATACTGAAGAGCAATGATGTCAGTTTGAAGACTTAAGGTGCACTTGATTCAGGTCATGCTCTTCTCAATCATCTTCTGTGCAACAGAGAGCTGGATAGTGAATAAAGATGACAGAAGAACTGATGCCTTTGAGTTGTGGTGTTGGAGAAGAGTACCGAAAATCATATGGACTACCAAAAGAACAAACAGATATGTCTTGGAGAGAGTGCAGCAAGAGTGCTTCTTGGAGGCAAGGATGGTGAAGTTTCATCTTTCATACTTTGGTTGTGTAGCTACACAAGGCTACCCCTCGGAGAGAGACAACATGCTTGGAAAGATGAAGGGTCAGTGAAGGGGAGAAAGAACCCCAATGAGATGTACTGATACAGGGACTTCAGCAGTGGGCTCGAGTGTGTCTGAGATGATGAGGATGGCTCAGGATAGGGCAGGGTTCAAGTCAGCAGTTCATAGGGTCACTATAAGTTGTACTCAATTTGCCAACACATAACAACAACGAGAACAAGAGGGCAGGCAGCCACCAGAGGCATACAAATGGGATGGCATGAACTGTATGAACACACCAGGATTTTAAAAAACCAAACAAAACAGCAAATCAATGTAACTCACTAATATACTGCCTCCAGAAACCCACCCAAAGTTCAACTGTAAGTGGGCTCCAATTAAAAAAAAAAACTAGCTTGTTAATATAACAAAATAATGTGCTAGCCATTAGATGGCTGAAACTATTTATAGCCCTTTTTATTCAGACAGTCATATGGTATCCTATATTGGGAATAACATTTAACAGAAATGCTGTCATATTCACCATCAAAAAGAATATTCACTGTTTAGCTAGTCAATGCTGTCAGAGATAAAATAATATCCATATGCCTACAAGGAAGACCTGTTAATATGACTAATAATCTTCACATTTCCATAACATTCACTAAAAGTAAAGTTGAAAGAATTGAAGGTTTTTTCCCATTTCTAGATATTAATTACAGGATATAGCAAGGTTCAGAGTCACTTGTCAACTTGATGGCACCTAACAACAACAACAACAAATTTCTACACTCTGATGTTAATCAAGCATGCATAAAGATGCAGTAATGACAACTGATGCCTGGAATCCAAATTTTGGAAATATAGAAAGATTTGTGGTTGGAAAATACAGCTTTGATAATATAAATGAAGCCAGAGATTACATGTTACAATTTTGTATGACGAAATTACAAATTACAGATAACTTTTAAAGAAAATATAAATGGCAACCCTACACATGGGTCTTGCCTGATGGAATATACAGATATCAAATAGTGGTTGTTGTTGTTGTTGTTATGTGCCGTCGAGTTGCTTGCAACTCATAGCGACCCTATGTACAACAGCCCTAAACTCTGCTCTGTCAAAAAAAAAACCCAAAAAACAAAAAACGCTGTTCTGTCCTGTGCCAATCACACTGTTTCTGATACACCTATCCCAATTACCCCAGGCACTGAATCAATCCATCTCATCAAGGGTCTTCCTCTCCTGTGCTATCCCTCCACCCTCCCAAGCATGATGTCCCTCTCCAGGGACCGGTCCCTCCTTACAACATGTCCAAAGTATGTCAGATGAAGCCTCAGAATCCTTGCCTCCAAGGAGCTGCCAAAGTTAACCCTCTCCAGGATGAACCTGTTTGTTTTCTTAGCAGTCCATGGTACACTCAATACTCTTCTCCAACACCCAAGCTCACAGGCATCAATTCTCCTTCTATCCTCCTTAGTCATTTTCCAACTCTGATGCATAACAAGTGATTGCAAAGACTGTGGCCTGTATCAGACACACCTTAATCTCCAGAGAGACACCATTGCTCTTCAGTACTTTAGAGAGGTCCCTAACAGCAGACTTTCCCATCGCAATACATCTTTTAATTTCCTGGCTGCTTTGCCAAGAGTGTTGACTGTAGAGCCAAGCAAACTAAAGCTGTGAACAATCTCAATCTCTTCACCATCCATCCTGATACTGCCAATTGGCCCAGTGGTGAGAATCTTTGTCTTCTTGATATTGAGTCTCCATCCATATTGAAGGCTACACTCCTTCACCCTCTGCAGCAAGTGCTTCAGGTCCTCCTCAGTTTCAGCAAGCAGGGTTGTGTCATCTTCATATCGCAGATTGTTGATAGATCTTCCACCAATCCTGACACCACACATGTCCTCATATAGCCCAGCCTCTCGGATAATCTGCTCTGCATACAGGTTGAAAAGGTATGGAGATAGGACACATCCCTGGCATACGCCCTTCCCAATTTTGAACCATGCAGTGTTTCCTTGCTCTGTTCTAAAGACTGCCTCTTGGTCCAAGTATAGGTTTCTCATTAGTACAATCAAGTGTTCTGGTATTCCCATTCTTCTCAGAGTCAGCCACATTATGTTATGATCCACACGGTCAAACACCTTTGCATAGTCAATGAAAGACAGATAGACATTCTTCTGGTATTCCTTGCTTTCGGCCAAGGTCCATCTAACATTAGCTATAATATCCTTAGTACCACAGCCCCTTCTAAACCCAGCCCTGTTGGCCTAGTGGCAAGAAGCTGCATTGCAATCCCAGAGATGAGTGATTCAAATCCACCAGTTGCTCTGTTGGAGGAGGGACAATCTCCTCCTGTACCATTCAGATCCAATTTGATGGTACACACACACACACACACACACACACACACACACACACACACACATAATGCCTCTGGTAGTTTTTGACATTAGCATGGATGTGTTTGTTATGTGCTGCAGTCCCTATAATAAAAAGGTTTACTCTTCCTGGTTCCTGTTCTTCAAGTTTGCCTTTGATTGCTTTCAGGTAATCCTTGATGTTTGTCTTGTAGGCTTATTTTGTGAAGCTGGTTTCCTGCAAGTGATGGTTCATGACGATGTCAACACCAGTGATAACTGTGCTTTCGGTTCCTTCACAATCAGTGCCTTCAGCAGACGTGTTCCCACCAATAAGTGAGTCATCAATGTTGCCCTCTGTCCTACTGACCATCTTCCCCTTCAGCTCCAGGCACAGTCCGTCCACGATCTCCCAGATTTTGTAGATGTTGGAGAACATCTCATTGTGGCTGATGAGATCCTGGTAGATGATCACGATGGCGGCAAGGAGATGATGGCAATGCTAGCTGAGCAGTAGAGGGGAATGGGTGGCAAAGCTGGGCTCTACTTCTAGTACTTTGTTTACACTCTAACAGCTGTCTGTCAGTTTGTTGTATTGGGAAAATAATTTGCATGATACTAATTACTTTATAGCTTAAAATTACTTTATACTTTATATGCTTGCTTGTTTATCATTTCCTCTTATTAGTACAGCATTTGTCTGTCAGTTTGCTGTAGTGGGGTAACTTGTGAGTTGCTGTGATACTGGAAGCTATCTTACCAGTGTTCCAAATGCCCGAAGGGTCACCCAACTTGGACAGATTTCAGCAGAACTCCCAGATTAAGACAAAATAGGCAGGAGGATTGACCATCCACTTCTGAAATAACAGGCCTTTGAAAGCCCTGTGAATGAAAAATCCACAGTGATAAATTATGTGAGTAGCAAGTATCCTTGTATTGAGGAGTCCTGGTGATGGAGGGGTCAAAGCATTGGACTGCTAAACAATGATTGGTCTTGGTCAGTAGTCTGAACCTAACAGCCACTCAGCGGGAGAAGGTGCTGCAGCTGTTTGTTGTAAAGACATAGTGTTCAAAGCCCTCTGGGGAGATTCTGTCCAGTGGGATCACCGTGAGCTGGAATTAACTTGAGGGCAAGGACGTGATTTTGGCTTCCACTTGAATGAATATCTGTGATCTTTCTCCCCAGAGCTCTACCCCTAGTCAAACCATGAGGACAACATTAGACAGATTTCCACTGAAGACACTGCCTACAAAATACTCAGCCAGTTACAACTCAGAACTCAAAATTATCAAAACCAAGGGATCAAGTCATGATTCAATGTCATGACCCAATGTAATATGACATTCTGGATCCTAAAAAAGACATTAGGTAAAAACCAAGGAAATGTGGAGTATGGATTTAATAGAAATGTCAACACTAGCTCACTGATTGTAACAGACTTACCACACTCATGTAAGACATCCGTAATAAGGCTAACTGAGTATGTGGGGATAAGAGAACTAATTCTGTGTACCATCTTCACAATTTTCTTGTAATGTTAAAATTATTCTAAGAATAAAAGCTCATTTTTTAATTTTAATGAAAGTTTACAGACTTTGGCTTTTCATTCATTCATTGTTGCACTTTTCTCCCTGAATTCACACTTCTCTTTAAAAAGTAAAATTATTTCAAACATCTCTCATTTATTGAAGTAAATTCCTAAGTAAACCCCTTCTGATGGCTCGTAATTTCCTAATCAACCTTTTCCATCATTGCCAAATGTAGATTCTTTGCTCCTAAGAAGTTAATCCATTATGTCTTCTGCACATAATTTGCTCTCAGCTGCCAATCCCCTGCTCTATGCTTTCAAAACTTGCCTGAAAAATACAACTCCCTGGTGCCTCATTAAGGAACTCTGGTGGCATAGTGTGGAACATACCGGGCTGCCAACCAAGAAAGTGGAACATTTTAATCCATCAGTTGCTCAATGGGAGAGAGATTAACGGTCACCTCTTGTAATGCTTTCAAGCCTCGGGAAATCAATGGAAGGTCACAATGAGTCGGAAACTCATCAGCAATGGGAATGGAAGGGACACCTCATTATCAGCCTCATTTAGCTCAAATAACTAAATGGCTACTCCAGGACAGACCTGTTGGTTCTCCAGGCAGTCCATAATAATTTTGCCAACACCATTTGTTAAAAAGGCTGTCGTTCCCCCACTTCACTGATTTCATCTCCTTGTCAAAGATCTCAATACTCTCTTCTAGCACTACAATTCAAAGGCATCAATTCTTCTTATCATCCTTAGTCATTGCCGAGCTCTCTGATTGTAAAGACTATGGCTTGGATTTGATGCACCTTATTCTCTAGAATGACACTGGTGCTCTTCAGTACTCTAAAGAGGTTCCTGACAGCAGATTTTCCCAATTCAATTAGTCTTTTGATTTCCTCTATTGGCTGTGGAGCCGAGCAAGCTGAAATTGTTAAAAATCTCAATCTCTTCTCCATCTATCATGATGCTGCCAATTGGCCCAGTGGTGAGAATCTTTGTTTTCTTGAGATTGAGCTTCAATTCATATTGAATTATAATCATAGTCCATCATAAATATCTAATTATCACCATTCATTCAATATGTTGTTGTGTACTATAGGGTTAAAATTAACTCATAGACTCTAGTAGTCCTAATCCACAATATAAACAGTCTTCCAAGTATCCAGAAAAATCTACAACCAGGAGAAGATAAAATAGATGAATGGGACCTTCTAAGAATCAAATCCTTATGCACATCCAAAAACTTCACAATAGCAAGGAGTTGGAAACAACCCAGGTGCTCATCAACAAACGAATGAATAGAGAAGCTGTGGTATATTCACACGATGGAATACTAAGCTGCATTGCCAAACAAGGAACTCATGCACTATTATTCAAAATGGGTGACCCTGGAGGACATTATGCTGAGTGAAATATCTCAGTCACAAAAGGACAAATACAGGATGATGCCACTGCTGTAAAATGGGACTGATATCAGGGTTGGGGTAAGACTGAGAAAAACTGGATAAATTGTGTATACTGCACTGAAACAGATGAGGGAGAGAATAATTTAAAAGCAATGTATGATAGGGTATTATGGTTATCACAAGAGTCCACAATTAAGGTTGCATAGTGGAATGTACTTTGGGCGGTGGGAGGGGTGGGGGGGATTGTGTACCAGGGAGGGAGTTTTTTCTTTTACTTTTCAAAGAGAGGAGCGAACTGGGGGAGGCATGGGGGGAGGGCTGGGCAGGGAGAGAAGTGCAGCAATGAATAAATGGAATTCCAAAATCTCTGTAAATGTTCACTAAAATTATTAAAATTAAAAAAAAATTAACTCATAGCTGACCCTCCGGTGGGTTTTCAGAGGCAGTTAGTCGCATGAGAGGAGACTGTCTATCTTTCTCCCTTGGAGCAGCTGGTGGACTCAACCCATGTGCCTTTGGGATTGGAGCACAGCTTCTTGCCAGAAGCTCTTTAAATAAATTGTATATTATCAAATGGATTTCAATGAAAAACACATAAGTAGGAAATTGTACACATATATTTACCTTCTGTGATAATCTACATTTGTTTCAAATTGTTTGCATCTACCTTTGATACCTTTTATATTCAAGACAGTAAATCATTTAGTTTTAAAAAACATTAAAGCCAAGAAAAGCCTATGGGAGAAGTTCTACTCTATTACAATAATAAATAGCAACAAGACAAAACGTCTTTGTATGTAATCAAGGGGGATGATTGCCAAATACAACAAAGCATATTACAGACCAAGAAAAAAAAAGGTAACTATATACTTTCAAGTATGTGCATGGAGTATCTGGAAGGATTTATAGGATCTGGTAACAGCACTGCCTCCAAATATAGGAACAGGGAGGGTGGGGAGACAAGGACTGAATGCCTCACTGTTTACCTTTATGTACTGTTTTGTCATTTGTTCCATTTGAATGTATTGTTTCTTTGAAAATACAATGAGATAAAGAGTTGTTAGGTGCCAGTAAGTTGACTACAACTCATAGTGACCCTGTGAACAGCAGATCTGAACCTTGCCCTGTCCTGTGCTACTTCATCACCTCCAACAGGCTCAAATCCACAGTTAGAATCAATGGGTGTGTCCATTTCCTTGAGGGCTGCCCTTTCGCTGACCCTCTGCCTTTCCCAGCATGGTGTCTTTTTTCCAAGGACTGGCATTTCCCAGAACATGGACAAAGTATGTGAGACTGGGTGTCACCATCCTTGCCTCTAAGGAACACCCTGGTAGTACTTTCTCAAAGGTAGATTTGGGGAGTATTTTGGAGAATTGCCACATCATGGCATATTCGATACTTTTTTCAACACAATTAAAAGGCATTGATTCTTCTCTGATCTTTCTTATTAATTGTTCAACTTTCAGATGCATATAAAGCAACTGAAAATATATCATAACTTGAGTCAGGCACACTGATATCCCTGTTCTTTTCTGCCCTTTGGAGAGATCTTTGACAGTCAATTTCCTCTTTGCAACATATCCTTTGATTTCTTGACCACTGTTAGCTTGGTATCAGTGTGTTTGAGTGGTCTAAGGTGCCAGACTCAAGCTTGAGTAACTTCCTTCAAGGTGAAGGATTCTTGTCTCCAGATGGAGATGTGGGGTTTGAATCCCACTTCTGGCACAGTGCTCTAAGATAAGTGTTCCTGTTGTAATGTAATCTTGTTTGAACCAACTCATAGCTGAACCTCCAGTGGGTTTTCCCAAGCACTCAATTGCATGGGAGGAGATTGCCTAAATTTCTCCCAGGGAGTATCTGGTGGATTCAAACTATCGAATATGCCATGATGTGCAAAATACTCCCCAAATCTACCTTTAAGACAGGCTACCAGGGTGTTCCTTCGAGGCAAGGATGGTGACACCTGGTCTCACATACTTTGCCCATGTTCTAGGATGTGCCAGTCCTTGGATGGTCAAGGACTGCAGCCTTCAATATGGATTGAGGCTCAATGTCAAGAAGACAAAGATTCTCACCATTGGACTAATTGGCAGTATCAGGATGGTTGGTGAAGAGATTGAGATTGTTCACAGCTTTAGTTTGCTTGGCTCCACAGTCAACACTCTTGGCACCAGTAGCCAGAAAATTAAAAGACGCATTGCAATGAGAAAGTCTGCTGTTAGGGACCTTTCCAAAGTTCTGAAGAGCAGTGGTGTCTCTCTGGAGGTGCGTCTGATACAGGCCATGGTCTTCGCTATCACTTGTTATGCATCAGAGAGTTGGACATGACTAGGGGGGATAGAAGGAGAATTGATGCCTTTGAACTGTGGTGCCGGAGAAGAGTACTGAGGGTACCATGGACTGCTAGGAAAACAAACAGATTCATCCTGTTGTTGTTATGTGCTGTCGAGTCTCTTGCCACTCATAATGACCCTATGTACAACAGCCCTAAACTCCGTTCTGTCCTGTGCCAATCTCATTGTCTCCGATACACTCATCCCAATTACCCTGGTTACTGAATCGATCCATCTCCTAGAGGGCCTTCCCCTCCTGCGCCTGCCCTCCACCCTCCCAAGCATGATGTCCTTCTCCAAAGACCGGTCTTTCCTTACAACATGACCAAAGTATGTCAGACGAAACCTCAGAATCCTTGCCTCCAAGGAGCAGCCTGGTTTAACCTTCTCCAAGATGAATCTGTTTGTTTTCTTAGCAGTCCATGGTACCATTAATCCTCTTCTCCAGCACCAAAACTCAAAGGCATCAATTCTCCCAGGCATCTCCTTGGAGGCAAGGATTCTGAGGCTCCATCTAACAACTTTGGACATGTTGTCAGGAGGGACTGGTCCTTGGAGAGGGACTTCATGCTTGGTAGGGGGGAGGGACAGCGCAGGAGGGGAAGGCCGTCTATGAGGTGGATTGATTCAGTGACCGGGGTAATTGGGGTGGGTGTATCGGAGACAGTGTGATTGGCACAGGACAGAGCAGAGTTTAGGGCTGTTGTACATAGGGTTGCTATGAGTTGCAAGCAACTCGACAGCACATAACAACAACCACCTTTAGGTTTGTCAATGCAACTACTTACTCATTAAACCAGAGTAAACATCAAAGCCAAGATTTGGATGGTGATGAAAGGTCAAGAGGAGTTGGAAGGAAAAAAAAAAAAAAGAGACAGACAGTCAGACAGAATCAAGGGAGGCCAGCATCAGCATCTGATAAAGAGGTATAGCCAATTAGGAAAAGAATGCTAGCAGCATGGACCAAGCAGGCAGAGGGGAAAACTCACATTAGAAGTTGGGGGAGCAGTACAGGAAGGTGGTTAGTAGGCAGTGGAGGCAGACTGGATTAATGTCTGGCTTCTCTCTCTAATCCCTGTGTGAAAGTGCTTGGCTTAGTGGCTGGTATGTAGAATGCTACTAATAAAGATAAGCTGCTATGACTGTTAGGCAGACATAGAGCAGTAAGTCAGGGGATCAACAGTGAGCTTGACAGCAACAAGCAGAGGTTTCAAGTGATTATTCAGATAAGATAAGATAAGCAGAAAAAGTAGTATTCTAGAACATTGGACATGGACTTCCAGACAAAGAATTTGGGGAGAGGTAGAGACCCAAGTACAGAAGGCTGGCTAGAACTGACTTTTCCATAGGATCGTGAGTTCAAAATTCGGTGAAAAGGTAATTTAGAAAAAGTGAGGCACTGACCATTAAAGCTATTGTAACAGGAATGAAACTATTTCCTGAAAGACCAATAACTACATCAACAGTATTGAGATGCGTAGATTGTGACAACCAGAAACAAAATATATGGTCCTCTCAAACCGGCCTGAGATTTCAGTTATTTACTAAAACTCCACCATTTATATGCCAGGCAGCATCTGATGCGAGGAATCCAACACTGTGTATTTTTATCTTCCTACAGTTTAAAGATTAAAAGAGTTGTTGGAATGTAAATTTTCCATTCGACAAGGGTTAAGCTTCTGGATTCACTGGCACACGTCATTTCTGTAAAGTCAGAAGACGTCTTTAAGTGAAAACTGTCCCCCGTTAATCTAGAAAGATAGTAAAAGGAAATAGCTGAAAACACCAACAGTATTTCTTTTCTAGGGGCAAGGATGGGTAGCCACTTCAAACATCCCAGAAAACCAAGGATCCCATCCCAAACTTCCGATTCAACTTAACGGGTAGCAGAAGCTGACCACTGTCACTGTTGGCCAGTCCGGGCAATGAGGACCTTTTCTTGGCAGAAAGTGCGCAAAGATGTATTAATCCGTCTTGGTCGCATGCCGCTCTTATTTGGCTTATTTAGAAAATAGACCAGTGCTTTAAGCTTGTTTGAGGGGGGAAATGTTAAGCCGGCATCGCAGATCATTTTAAAGCCTCCAGAAATCCCAGCGCGATGCTGCCGAGAGCGGCGGGTGTTGGCTTCTGCGAAGGAAGCTCGGAAGCCGCCTGTCTTTGATTTCTATCTGTCTGTCCACCGCCCAGCGCCCCGCTGAACAAGAGACTGAGGGACAGGAGTGAGCGTGGCGGGGCAGCGTCCGACCGCAGCCCCCGGGCGCGTGACCGCTGGGCAGTGACCCCGCAGCAGCGCGGCCCCGCACGACCCGCACGCCC